TGTGTGTGTGTGTGTGTGTGTGTGTGTGTGTGTGTGTGTGTGTGTGTCAGGGACACTGGCTGTATATTGTAAAGCAGTGCAGATGCAGACTTCCACTATTCTCACTTCAGCATCAAGTTGTAGATGTTGTGGATTTGTGGCACTGTTAGAGAAAAACTTTTGAAGAGTAAACATTGTCACCGTGTCACTGATCTTCAGGTATCCACCTCCGCCTGAGTAGAAAGAAACCACTCAAAGCTCCCTGCACATATGAGACGTGTTTGTGTCCTTGTGTTTTCTTCCAGACACCCCCCTGTTGGTGAGAAGCAGCAGTGACTCAGCCCTCAGCCCCCAGCCGACAGAGACCGGACCCTCCCTCAATCAGGAGGCCGTCGGGATGGTAAGACCCTCAACCACTGAGACAAAAAGATGCAGTTTGTAACCCGCCGTTTAGATATATTTTTACTTCTTTCGTTCCACTCGGAACAGCATGGCCTTACTTCAGAATGACTTTTTGAAGAATCTAATTGGCACATTGCAGTGAAATTAGCTCATTCTCCCCAGAGAGTAAACCTTTATGGTGGACATCCCATAAACTTTCCTCTTGTGTCAACAAGAGACTCTTCTGTTTACTAAGCAGTGCAAAAGGGTCATCATGTATTTCTTTACCGCCCAGTTTGTTGTGTTTTGTGTGTAAAAGACAAACTGATTTGTGTCTTCTGGTCAGCTTTCCTTTTCTTAAAGGTTCATCGGCTTTTGTAAGATATCGATTCAGCGTTATGGATTCTCACGGACGCTACTGTGCTATCGTAATCTAATACGCAGATCGCCATGAAGACTGCTAAGCACATTAATACTCCCAAGGGGGTAAACACTTTGATTTTAATGACCCCATGGCCTTTCATCCAGAAGTACACCACAGCTGGTCATGCTCAGAGCGTAGCACGTTGTTCATATAGTCTTTCATACTTAACGTTTTACTACCGATAAAAGTATCTTCTATTGGAATGACCGCAAAAGAATCAATAAAGACCATAGAGGCATAAATAAAAGGTGCTTCACGAAGTCCAACCGTACCAAAAGTAATTTAAGAAATGTCTGAAACCTTAGTCGGGCCTTGTTCTGTATCTAGGAAAGCTTCACTTATACACCGTACATCAAGTGTACAGATTTGTCTTTGGGGAAGATGTTTTATTCAGAGAAGCATTCAGAGTAATTCCACAGATATCAGGTGGAAAGTAATTAAATTATCTTGTGACTTGGTTCACTGCTCTGTTTTATTATAGCCTATACATCTCATACCTACATAATATAAAAATGTAAATACATACGTTTTATCTCAACCAACCAGTTGAAAGTTGAATCCAGTGTTAGTACTGATAAAACAGGTAAGAAGTAACTTTTGTCCTCTGTTTGGTGAATTGTGACACATGGCCGCAGTGTGTTCCTGTGTGTAGGTAATATATGAGTTAACAGGTCGGGGGGGTGAGTGGTGCCTGTGGTGTCCTCATGTTCTCTCTAATCCAGACATGCTTTCACATCACACTCCTCTAACAAAGACGGATGACTCTCTCCATGCTTTTCTCTCTTTTCATCCCTTCTCTCTCTCTGTTTTTCCAAAGGGTAGAGGGCACACACTTTCTCATCTGCTCCTTCCTCCCTCTCCTCTCCTCCTTCGTTACACTTTTTCAACATCTTGGTCCAGTGTCAACCTTAATAATTTAAATCCAGCTTCCAAACGTGCTTCATCATTTTGACCCGAGGGCCTGATGTTTAACCTTTTGCTCCATTTTCTCCTTTCTGAAGATAAGACATCTCCTATTTCCTCTCTAACTGTGGAGCCAGTTGCTTCACTTCATATCTAATCTGATTCTGTCCTTTGCCATAACGTTCCTCCATCTGTGTATTCATTTCTCTTCCTATTCCTTCTTCTGATTCTACTCTTTCATATCTGATAGGAGGTTGGAGATAAGTTTATTTGATGCTTATCGTCCACGGATGTTTTTCTGTCTGCTGTGTGAAAGAAATACACCAACCTCTCTCCTCTTCCCCCCTCTGTCCTCCTCTTCCACCTCTTTACGATATCTTCCATATTTTTGACAGCTTCTCAGTAATTCAGCTACACTAGAGAGTCGTGCACACAGACACACATTGCCTGACGAGTACATGGTTCTGTTACGATAGTTACGGTTTCATGTCCCTGTAGATACTTGGACACAATAAATCCCTCAAGTTCACCGGTTAAAGGGCCTCCTTGCCTGATTGGACTCCTGAGTGGTGAGTCCTCCTCCCGCGGGACTCCTCACCGGACAAACATCCCTTTTTTTAAACCCCGCCGTATTCCCCGTAGAATAAGCTGTTTGCGAGGTTCAGTTCTTTTGGGGAATGTGATTGGTTCTCAGAGGTGGCCGGTCTCCCAGTCTGAACCTCACTGAGGTGGAAAAAGTACCAGAGGTAGATGAGGCTGTTTATGAGGAAGATGTAAGGGCTGCATAGGGACGAACGGAGAGAGAAGTCCATTGAGTGTTCATGACACTTAATATTTAGCCCAACCGCACTGACGGTATTGTCTTATGATGATCCACCAGAAAAACAAGACCAGCAATCTCTTCTGATTTACAACCTACAGCGACATGACACATAGTTCAGCAGAAATAACACCTGGATGCACTCGCCACTAATAAATATTAAACTGCCAGCGCTAATCTATTTAGTTTTATTTACCCGGTGTAATGCAAAGCTCAGGAATGTAGATCAGGTTGTTGAGAGCCCACCTACCATTCCTTACATCTTCGCTCCATTTACGCTGCACGCCATCACTCCTGCGCCCGTCAATATGAAATATTACTGCGTGTCAATTACACAGCAGGCCTGTCCGGACCGTGTGCGTCTGGGTGTTTTATACGTCGGTGTGCCTGCATGACCTCAACCACGCCAGCTGTGGACTCTCTCTTTATTACAGTTCATACTAGCTCCTCAGATTTCCTGTCTCATTTTACACATAGCATTACAGCTGTGGTGGTCCGCTTCTTTAATGAAACATTCTAGCAAGCTGTTAACCATCTCCCACATCGTGTCCCACGTTTAGATAGTCAGAACAAATGCATTTCCAGTCCCTATAACTTTACGAACTCATTATGGACTTGTTTGCGGTTTGTGATCGGGCTATGCAGATGTTTGTGCCTCGTAAAGAAATAACTCAAACATGCGTCAGGACGTAATTTCCCCCTTTTTAAAAAAAAAAAAAAAAAAATCTGCTACTGACGAGAGACCTCAAGGCTAAGATCAGATCCTTCCTGCTCACGCCTCCACTTGTGAGCTCATTTCAACTTGGACCAATTTGTTAAATACAAAAACTTACCATCCGAATTAGAGTCAACCACAAATCTGTTACTACCGAAAACATGGAGTGTATGGAGATTTGTTTTACACGACTTTGTTGAATACTGTAATACTGTAATAATTTCAAAACTATAAAACCATTTTAAAGTCAATATTGTGTGTCAATTTATGGATTTTATTTTTTTTAGTAAGTACTGTACTAAGTGAGATAATGCACAGCTGGCCGTTATTCCGAAATAAACAAGGCGATTCAAGACCCCTCTGCTTAGTGTCGGGGTTCATTTTGCAGTCATTTATTTCGTGACTACTTTGAATGAAAGAATTCTCTCTGTTTCACTCGCTCCTCTTCCTCATATGTCATTTTCTCAGTCACTGTCTTTACTTTGTCTCCTTCGCTGTCCCTCAGTCACTCACTCATAGGTCTGTCTCTGCTCAACCAGCCAGGTTCAGAGAGAGGTAATGGCTCCGGGTAATTGTTCAAATTGTCACTTGGCCTTTCGGCGAGAGCGATGAGGGGAAGAAAGTACTCTTCCAGCAGTAATTCTCCGTCTTTCTTCTCTTCTCCTACTCTTATCCCCCCTTGCTTTATTTCATTTCTATCCAGAAAGATTTACTGGTGCAGCTCTTCCGTTCTAAATGCCACGCACAAATGAGTACAGTAAGCCTCGAAATCACTCCGTCTTTCCGTCTCCCGTCTTTCACACACACACACACACATGCACACACACACACACACTCGTTAATAAGGCTGGGAGTATCTGTTCTTACCTAGAATACTACTGGACTAATAAGGCAGTGTGGCACTTATTTATCGTGCTCCGCCTGGGTGTGTTTGCACATGGACGTTGGTCAGTGAAGCACTTTAGTTTGCGTCTGTGTGTGTGTGGGCGTGTGTGCGCGCTTGGTTTTCACGTGAATGCGTCTGCTCTTTTGTGTTTGCACCTTTCCGGTTACTCGTTGTGCTTTCCCCAATGCCTACTGTATGTGTACAGTTAGAGAACTGCACTTATGTTCATGAATCAGGTACACTTTGCACTAATGATACTTGAAGAAAGTAAATGTCATGCTTCTGATATAATCATTAGAACAAAAAGCAAAACAACTAAAAGCAAAGTATGACACATTGTCGTTGTGTCCTTTGCCCTTAACCTAAAGACCCACACATAGAGTTTTAGCCATTGTTGTTCTACACAAATAAACTTATTTATTTCTAGATTTATTTAGTAAAAAAATGAATGTTGCTATTTTTGTTTATTTCCTGGTTCAGACGTCTCTGACGTGGTATTTATCAAAACACATTCACTTCAATTCATCAGCCACGTCCCCAAAGACATACTGCAAGATAGATTACCTTAGTTTATCACTGTCGCACACATACACATGCACACACACATTTATAAACGTATACCATATACAACACGTAAGCACAACCTTTCCAGCATGCATTACAATGAATTTATCCTACTCTCTCTGGGAGCGTTTTCAGGGAACACTTAGGTTGATTGGTTATTCAGTAATTAGCAATATCACTAATAGTTCACTCTTTTTATCCGCTTTCAAGCAATTATTAGATTGGACCGAGAATACTAAATGCTCGCGGCCCATTTAACATACGCATAGTTATTCAAGGTAGGATTATCCATCATTGAGTTAGAATGGAAATCCTGCGTCTCTATCCTCCAGTTTTTAGAGAGCCGCTAATGCTCACGAGTATCGATTGATCTGTCCCAAGGTCCGCACACTAATCTATTCATCTTTTTCACTGCAGTTGTCCTCGAAATATTTCTATACATCTTTGTCATTTAATACGTATGGTTTCGATTTTTTCCCAGGTCTTTCAATAGTTATTCCTACGCTTCTTGTGTGTATAAATACTTTTCTTTATGGGGCTGTTTGTGGACTTTACATTTTGATGCAGTATTATTAATAATTCCTGAAAGCAATGATGAGTGCTGATCAATCTTGAAACATATTTATTACGTATACCGGTACTATCATTTTGGTAATATTGGGGGGGGGGAGAGATTTAATTGAGCTAATGGATTAGAATAACAGCAATGATTGTGGTATTGGCTGCTTGTTGGTACGTGTAATTGTTAGTGTTCAGATAACTAGTTAGTTACTAGTTATAGATAACATGGTATGATTAAATAAGTAACTTAGAGAAAGTCTTAAGATTTTATTCTCCAAGCAAAAACAATGCAGATACCTCTAAATAAATCTATAATATTTCAAAGTTAACATGAATAATGAGATTTGAGACCCATTTGTTTGTTCACATTCATGTACTCGTTCTAAATTACCCTTTGATAAGTAGCCTACAGTTCTGTTCTTTTTAATTAATGCGTCGCTCTTCCACAGAGAGAGAGGGAGACTATATCTACGTGCAGTTATTAAATGAGACGTACAATTAAGCACTAAAGACTTTCCAATTAATTTATGAGTGGCTATTGTTATGACAAAGAGGTTAGGGTAATTAATGTTACCTGTCATCCTCTTAGTAATTAGGCTCACATGACAGCATCCGCAGCTAGGCCAGACTAATTGATTTCCAAGCCACCAAACCCCAAACATATGGTTACAGTATCTGCAGTCTGTCATTCACTGCCGGCTCTCGTCTCACCTTCATCTAACTCCTCACCAGCCGCTGTCTTCATCCCTTTCTTCACCTCTACAGCTGTTGTTTCTCGACCCGACCCGAATCTCTTCAGCTCTCTGACATTTCCTCTCCGTCACTCATCCGTTGGCTCTTTCTCTCCTTCCTTCCCTCTCCCGCTCTCTGACAGGTGGTGCAGGTCACATGGCGATCCGGTGAGAGGTCAGGGGTGAGAGGTCATGTTAAGAGTCCATTAGTGCCGACCGCTATCATTGAGCCTTATTGACCTGCGTGTGTTTGTCCGCATATGCCCACGCAAACACGTGCACGCCTGAACTCAAGAACTCCACGTGCACATATAAACATGTAGACGCATACGCGGTTAGGATTAAATGCTGATCCTCATTATTTTTTGCCAGATATTCTGATACAATGATCAGGACTGGTAAGATTTCAATGGAGCTGTAGTTTTTCATTTGAATAATTGTTGATTTGTATTCGCGAGTGATTCCTATTTATCTCAGAATATGAATAATTAACCACGGGGACCCGTTTGACGTTTTAAATGGATAAAGCCTTTGAAATACAGAAGCGAGCGGAACAGCAGCTGGCCTAGAGGTGACATCAGGACGTTGGGTCTCTACAGACCAATTAAATCAATACTTCTCCTTCATACTGTCTAAAAAAACTGAAACACATCAGCTAAATGTCCAAATGTGTTTCATGCCCTAGCGAGGTGTCATTTTGTTGCAGGTCTGTTGTGACTGCTTGCAGTGAACTGACCAGACATTCATGATACGGTGTTAACTCCCAGACGTATGGAGCAGCGATAGCTTGTTGCAGAATCTCATGTATGCGCTCAGTGCTCGCACAGACACTGACACGTTGAGTTTCAGATGATTAATCATCCCTTTACCTCGTCCCTGTGGAGCTCACCTCCCTGTGTCTCTAACATAAACACACGTCACACACACACACACAGGTCATGCAAGCCCTATGTCAGTGTATTAAGTAATTATTACAGCTCCCTTGGCTCACGTTTACTCTTTCTCACCTCTCTCTCTTTTTCTCGGTTGCCATGCCAAGTGACATTGTTATTTATCACTGCTTGGCAACACTGTCTTCTTGCCTTCACATATTAATTGCTATTTGTACATCATCCATCCGTCAATTTAGCAGCTCCCTCAATCATCACTTCACTCATCAATTCATTCATTCCCTTTATGCGTTCCCTTGTCTTTCAAATTGCAGAGACTTTCATGTTGGGTGCGGTGCATTACAAGCCAAAATCAAAACACGGGTTCTTTAATGTCACTCATTTACAGCTTTATGTTTATTGGAGAGGGTTAATCCATCCAGCATGTCTCTCACAGTTCCCTTCATCTCCCATTTGTCTTTTGTCCAGCCATGAAGTCTTCCCCTTTTAGACGGATCCAATGTGCCGTTGGAGCTTGTTTTGCTCTTTTAGTCGTCTCTCACTGACTAACAAGAAGACGCTCTGTGTGTTTTCTCTGCAGGCAGCCGGTCCCACTGTGGAGAGGCAGGCCGGGGTCGACCGACTCCAAGGCAAACTCACCTTCAACGGCAGGTCAGTGTGTTTGTAACTCCTGCACTGCAGTGCACCTGTCTATGTTACGTAATTGTGAGGATAGCTTTTGCACGTTGCATGCTTGTTTACTGATGTTTGTGTGTTGTGTGTTTGTGTCCTACTTTCCCTTCATTAAAACTGTAT